TGAGATTGGCTTGCAAGTGCCAGTGCTGCTCGAAGTTTGCGGTGAGTCGAAACTGAGCTTGAATGCTGCGTGATTGTCGCCAGTGCTGCTCGAAGTCTGCGGTGAGTCGAGACTGAGCTTGAATGCTGCGCGATGAGGCAGTGTAGGTGCGTGCCGTAGGGCCAGGAAGCGCGGTGAGTCGGCTGCGATGGTCCTGTTGAGGCTGCGATGCTGGCTTGCTGTGGGACGACTGTCGATGACTTGCTTTTATCTGCGAGAATGCGGGGATTGTGGTAGCCGAAGTTCTTGATGCGCTGATGATGAATCAGAAGGTTGCGATTGTTCCGTCGTAGGTCACCAGTTTGGGGAGATATACGACAAAGGGAAGATCTTCCACCGAGCGGGTGATATTGCTCGGTAGACCGACGGTCCGAATGTTGTTGTTCGGAACTTGTATATATGCGCTTTATCTTGAAAATGTCGTAAGCGAGATTCAGGCATCTGTCAATTATCTTGCGTTGTATGATGGCTACCCGCCACATCACTCCCCTCCGAGACTGGAGGTCGTGTCATTTTTAGTTATCGTTGTCCGTGCTGAGATTAGCTTGCAAGTGCCAGTGCTGCTCGAAGTTTGCGGTGAGTCGAAACTGAGCTTGAATGCTGCGTGATTGTCGCCAGTGCTGCTCGAAGTCTGCGGTGAGTCGAGACTGAGCTTGAATGCTGCGCGATGAGGCAGTGTAGGTGCGTGCCGTAGGGCCAGGAAGCGCGGTGAGTCGGCTGCGATGGTCCTGTTGAGGCTGCGATGCTGGCTTGCTGTGGGACGACTGTCGATGACTTGCTTTTATCTGCGAGAATGCGGGGATTGTGGTAGCCGAATTTTTTTTTTTTTTTTTTTTGATGCGCTGATGATGAATCAGAAGGTTGCGTGTTCAGATCACGTCGCAGGTCACCAGTTGTAGAAATATATACTTGTTATAAGAAATATTATCTTGCGTTGTATGATGGCTACCCGCCACACTTCCTTCATTCGTTGGGGAGGTAGGGTCGTCCTTTAAAAATAACAATTGAGCCTTTGCGCTTATGTTCCAATGTGGATAACGGTATTATCGTTGAGATTTGTAATGGCACCCATAACCACTTAACACTAAATAGGGCGTAAATTGTTAACGCAGTCATGTGATAAAATTATTTACACTGATTCGAAGTCGTCGTGGCCAAATGGACAAGACGCCTGGTGCATTCGTATCGAACGATGCAATTGTGATGGTCTTTGAATCCCACAGGCAGATAACAATTTTACTAATGAAATACGCACATAGGAAATGTTCACAATCGACTTCCACGATGAAGGAATAACATCGTGTAATATAAATCCAACCCACAAAAAATACAATTTGCGTAATTACTGTTGGTAGGACGTCTTGCGAGTCCGCGCGGGTAGGTACCACCGCCCCGCCTATTTCTGCCGTGAAGCAGTAATGCGTTTTGTTTTGAAGAGTAAAGCAGCCGTTGTACTGTAAGCACTGAATATTAAAACTCATGTCACAAGGTGGGTGGTGGCATTTACATTGTTTATGTCGATGGGTTCCGGTAATCACCTAACACCAGGGGGGCGTAAGTCTGTCCCCTCACCTAAGCAAAAAAAAATACAAATAACAAGGAAGCTAAGCCCGATATAACTACACCGGCTAGTCGATCTATTTTAAGTAATTATTTTAAAATTGAAAAAAAAGTTTCTGATTTTTTTTTTGCAAAAAGAGTTTTATAAACGTATAAATGTATTAACTTTCAACAATTTAGTTTGGCATAATGAATTGTGAACTAAAACGATTTGTATTCAAATCAAAAGTAACTTTATTATTACATCGCATTGACTCCAACGTGACTCCATTCAATGCAAATGACCAACAATAAACTGTGAAACTTTCAGACAATTATTATCATAAAAACAATTACGAACGATTAATAATTTCATTGATATGTTGTAAAAAAAACAAGCCATGCTTGAGACGTGTGGTTGGCTACGGTTGCCCGTCAAACTAAAAAACATTGTGATTGCCGCAACAGCCAAAATGGTGTGCCACTATGTACTACTTATTACTCTTTGAGATCAATTAACTGGTATTAGATATGTTCTTTTTTCAAAATTACAGAATTACGAATCAACGAATTACGAAACGGCCGTCTGGTGTAGTGGTAAGTGACATGGTCACTACACAAGGGGGTCGCGGGTTCGAATTCCGCCAAGGGAAGATATTTGTATGATAAATATAAATATCTTTTCCAGGGTTATGGATGTATATTAAATATGTGTATGTGTATAATAAAAAACTTATATTTATTTCCGTTATCTGGTACCTGTAACACAAGTTCTTTACGAACTTATCACGGGACCAGTTAATGTGGCGTGACTGTTAGTAAATATTTATTTATTTATTTATATATTTAATATTTAGCTATTGATACATAATATTTTACATTCAGAAAAACAGATTTACAACAAACATCAGTAATTATATAAGACATGTTTAGTTACATAACGAATGATACTGTTAGATCACGTACAATGATGGCCTAATGTTATTGATAAATTCTTTGTTTTATTACAACAAAGTAAATATTGCTTTAGATGGAGTTATATTTCAACGAATTAATAAAGTCAAAAAAGATATCCAGTCAGTCGTGTCGTTATTGTCAAAAGGCTACTTACCAACTGTGTGTTTTTTTTAGATGGGTGGACGAGCTCACAGCCCACCTGGTGTTAAGTGGTTACTGGAGCCCATAGACATCCACAACATAAATGCGCCACCCACCTTGAGATATAAGTGCTAAGGTCTCACGTATAGTTACAACGGTTGCCCCACCCTTCAAACCGAAACGCATTACTGCTTCACGGCAGAAATAGGTAGAGTGGTTGTACCCACCCGCGCGGACTCACAAGAGGTCCTACCACCAGTAATAACGCAAATTATAATTTTACGAGTTTCATTTTTATTACACGATGTTATTCTTTCACCGTGGAAATCAATCGTGAACATTTTGTTGAGTACGTATTTCATTAGAAAAATTGGTACCCGCCAGCGGGATTCGAACACCGGTGCATCGCTCAACACGAATGCACCGGACGTCTTATCCGTTAGGCCACGACGACTAAATTCATGTTAAGATAAATACTGATAGACGCTAGAATGCGCTTAATAAAATGGAACTAGGAACAAAAATGAAATGTTTTTTTTTTATTGGCCCTGTAGGCAGATAGAAACAGATGGCGGTGCACTATAAAAAACAAACTGTTTCAAGGCCATGACCACGACCCTCAGTAATGAGGGAACCGATGCAAGGAGGAGGAGAGGCAGACGAGCATACGGCCCACCTGATGGTGAGTGGTTACCGTCGCCCATGGACTTCAGCAATGCCAGGGGCAGAGCCAAACCACTGCCTGCCGCAAATGTTTAACCGCAATGTTTATTGTTTTATATCTTGAATCAAAAGTAATTGAAGTCTGCTGACACACAGAGTTGACGTCACAGACGTAGGGTTGTTTGTTTTATTTCTTGAATCAAAATTATTTTAAATCTGCTGATACATAAATTTCGTGGACGTCACAAACGTGTTAGCACTGAAGTTAGCCACAAACACTCAGAATCAATGGGGCAACTGCTTACTTATGTCAAGTAGGCACCCTGGATTTTATCCCTAACTAACCTGCTCATATAACAAATACTAAAACTTGTGAAAATCGATGGATGTTTGTTACGCTTTCAGGCAAAAAGTAATGGACGTGTTGTAATGAAACTACGCAATGTAATAGCTTATACATCAGACTAGCACATAGAATATCATGTTAAGTCACACGATGCGGTTAATGCCGGGTACACACCTCTAATACCACCTTGCCGGTTTCTCTCGCGAAGCACTAACGCGCTCCGGTTTGAAAGGTGGGACTACCGTTATAAGGAACCCTCCATGGCATGTGTCAAGTCGATGACAATCACGAAATGATTGCTAAGCAATAATAAATTCGACAATGAACAATAACATTGATAGTATCGAAATTATCGTCCGAAAATAATAGTTAACCTTATTTTTAATGTTTAATTTGATTGTTTAATATTCATCGCTTGCAAATTTTCTATTATTTTAAACGAATGAAGGTAATATGTTCTATTAGAAAACACTATAAAAATATACGACAACGTGTGTGTAGGTTCGTGTTTATATGTATCAACGTATACTTTACATAATGTTTTAATTTTTAATTTAAAGAGAGTGGTAAAGCGAGGCTCGTTTTGTAATTCATAAGTCAAGCCTTTGTCTTTATCGAAAACTGAATACCTACCTATAAGTTTAATTAATTACGAAAATTAAAGCAATTTAACTTCATATTTAATTTTTGTTGTTTGAATTTGGAATGGCCATATAATAGCATGTTATTAAAACAAAATACAATTACCAAACGATTACTTCACTTTTTTCTTACAAAACGATTAAGGATTGGTGCAAAAACATTTTATTATAATCGAATAATTTTGACAATTAATTCGATTCCAAGCTCGATTAACATTAGCGTACGATCGTTTGGTATCCGATTTTGAAGATCAAAATCGTTCGGTCGAGTGATTCGCCTTGGACCAGTTACACAATGTCGTAGTTTGCTGATGTTTCATTGACTCGTTCTTTCACACCGTAAACATCGGCTATTACTGCTTTTTAGCACGGTATTCGCGTTTTTATCGATTACTCTAATCGACTCAGCTTATTGAAACGATTATCGGAGCCAATAAAGACTTACAATACTTTTGATATTACCGAATTCCTCGGGTTGATTGTATTTAGTAATTACATTTAATTCAAAAGTGAATGTATTATGTTTTGATTGTAGCAACTGATCGTTTCGCAGGAGACGAAGTTGCCATTTTTTATTTGTTTATATTTCTTAACTTATCGAAATTGTTGACCTAGATTCAATCGATTCAATACATTGGCAAACGCTTGATAAAGTTTATCTTATTTGGACTTACCTCTAGCCCAGCCGGTGAGAACATTGCCGAGATACGCCACCTTGTAGACGGGGTCTGGTTCGCTGATCCGCACACTGTTGGACCGACGCAGGAGCTTTCCGATACCCCTGGACAGGCGGCCAATAGCTCTCGCTGTAAAGTCCTTCCCCGATAGACCCTCGGCCAAGCAGACCTCTGCGGGTAGTATGGACTTGCCCTCCGCTGGCTTGTGCGCCAATAACCGCGGCATCATCAGCGGTATCGACTTCTTCCTTTCCGGCGTAAGGGTCTTCGCCTGATGGACACTGTAGACGTTGCAATTCTTCTTGAAGAGTCCATTTGATTCTTTGGTTTGTTCGCCACCGTCTGCGTCGGAGGGTTCGACCTTGCCATTGAGGTTCTCGCTGGAAGCCGTGTTGTTGTTGTTGTTATTGTTGAGATTGTCGGTGTGACAGTCAACCAAGCGGTGTTCGCTGGAACGTCTCTTGAGAAGAGATGGATTCCGCAGTAAAATACTCGTTTCGCTTGAGCTCCTATTTTTAAGGATATGTACTTTCTTGACCCTCGTAACGCTGCAATCGACCTCGTCAGCGCTGACCGTCCTCTCCGTCTTACCTTCCTCATCCAGGAAGCGCACTCTCAAACCGTTAGGTTTGCAATCACTGAGAGTTTTTTCCGCATCTTGAGATCTATCCGATTGCGTTTTTGCAGCGGTCTCGATACAGTTTCGCTCGTTTTCTCGAGCCATTTTTCTTTATAATTCTGTGATCGTCGACGACTATTACATTATGAATGTTGTGTTTATTCACACAGTTCCAGCGGGAGCTTTCACGAGCACAAACCAGTCACTCCTCGGTAAGTAATAACACACACAGAGCACACACCTCGTCCATTCAAGAACGACACCGGTTTGGAATGTAGCCTTCTCGACACTAAATGCACTTGTTCGATTGTAAGGAGTTATATTGATATAAATACAATTTTAATGTTTAGTAACGATCACTTTAAAGATTAATTTGTGGTTTAATTTAATTGTTCGACAGAAAATTGTTGTGTTTAGTTATCGCGGTTACGAGTATGTGAGAGCGGCGTAAACACCACCATAGCCGTCTACTCCCTGCGACCGAATGAAGTGGAGGCGGCGGGGATCGGCGCGGGCGCACACTGTACACTGTCGCACAGCGACTAAATACAAAATTGATGTAAATCCGATGTCCGATACTCGTTCGCCGTAATCTCGAGTATAATAATAATGCGCACTCAGCGATCCCACGCTGAAACAAAGAATTAAATTATTTTAGTAAATTATTAAGCAGAATTGAAATCGTGGTATTTAATGCTTCTGACTACGTATATAACGAAACAGTACGTAAGACTTCGTGTTGAAGATTAATTCAATGAAACAGGTGTGTGACACAGTTAATTTATCAGTATTATTCTACAGCACTTGTGTACTTGTACGTACTCTTCGACTGTACTTAATATAATGCTGTTATTTATTTTGCAGTGCAATAAAATGTTAAGTGATTGCAATGGTTACCTAATAATTTATCATTTTAAATGTCTTGTCTAGCTCATAGTCCATCCACTGGCCATCGGAGGCCGAACAAACTACAACGTGTTGATACGCAATGTTTACCCATCAACAACACAGCGTTAATTCGATACACCTCAGACACATTTTTTTTTAATGCTCTTGTAGGCAAACGAGCATACCTGATGATGAGTGGTTACCGTCGCTCATGGACATCAGCAATGCCAGAGGTAAAGCCAAGCCGCTGCCTACCGTTAAGTACTCCACAAGCCTGATGCCATCAAGTCCAAGTCTCCATTAAATTGGCATAACCGGTGTCCTAACCCTCAAATCCCAACCTGTTACTTATTATTACTTCGCGACGTAAATAACCGGAATATCTTTGCCAATCTACGTAAGTACAAAGTGCACAAACTTGAATTACTGGTAACAAGGCGTCAAGTAAATCTTTGTACTGATTCTGAAAAATCTTACATGGATCTATTGAAACGATAGGTGCTAGGCATATGCTCCCACCCCACTTAATGTATAATATTATTACCGAATATTACCGAAGCCTTACATTATGTAATGAGGTGGTAGTCTCATTTGTATTATGTGATGGATGTTCCTCCTTTTAAATCAGAATGCATCATTGACTAGCCGCAGAAATCGGCTTTCGATACGCCCCACGACCAACAATTACGCCAATGTACCAATTTTGCGGGCTACATCTCTCACACTGTTTCATTCCTTCATCAAGAAGTCGTTCGTGAACAATTTACAATTACATATTGCCTTAGAAAAATTGGATATACGGGATTCGGACACCGGCATAGTCGCAATACTTCATACGATTAAACCAGGCGTCTTTCTTATCTTTTCTCATACTGTGCAACGTGTATATTTTGTACCTGCTTATCCCAAATGAACAGTCGATTTGTGAAACTGATTGATTTCCTCGTCAAATTACAACTGTTTAGTTTTCATTTATGATGGTGGTATAGCCATGTTACCTTATCGTTATCGTTACGGCTTTGGGAAAATCTTCTTTGTAATTTTTATACGTTAAGTCATGACCAAGTGTGTAAGAGGTCAAAATCAAACGCAAATTTTACCCATTTTCTTTTTCAAAGCATAATTAATTAGCTTAGAAATACCTAGGAAAAAGATTGTTGATTTGATAGTTCGTCATTTTTTTGCCGAATATCAATTTGTGTAAGAGACAACTCGTTCTTAAAACTAGTTTGTTTTACGAATGACGTTCGTTACCAGTTCCTAATGAAATATAATAGCTTCTAATATCAAAATGATGTTTTTATTGATAATTTATTTTAGCAAATGCGTACTTATGTTTTTAATTAGAGCAAATGCAGAATTTACTTTCCTGCAACTTTTTCATGTAGGGCGTATTGTGAGTATGTTTTTTTTTATTGCTCTTAAGTTATTGCAGTTAAGTGGTTACTGGAGACCATAGACATCTACGACGTAAATGCGCCACCCACCTTGAGATAAGTTCTAAGGTCACAGTATGGTTACAACAGCTGCCCCACCCTTCAAACCGAAACGCATTACTGCTTCACGGCAGAAATAGGCAGGGTGGTGGTACCTATCCGAGCGGACTCACAAGAAGTCATACGACTAGTGATCAGCACCAATGATATTGCCGCGAAGTAGTCGTTTGTTCCGGTTTGAAGTGCTGGACAGCAGCTATGCGATACATTTGAGATTTCGACCTCATGTCTGAAGCTAGGCGGCGACATTCATGATGTGACGTCTATCGGCTCTGGTAATCACTTGGCACAAGGTAGACCACGAGCTCGATCACTTAGTTAAGGAATTAGAAAAAAAAACAAATATGAAAAACATTATCTGGTGAACGCCGATTTTGTGATTCTTATAAAAAAAAGTTAAGTTTTGTTGACAACACATGCAGAGTGCACGAAGAGTTGGTAGTCATTACTGTCGCTATCATAAGTAATTCGAGTTTTCATTTAAGATGCAACTTTTTTCTAAATCTGAAATGTATAGAACCTCGGGACAGCCCTAGTAATTTGTAATCACATTTACCTGTTTCATTGGCCATAAACGTTGTTAAATAATATTTCCTATAAATTATTAGAACGTTTACAAATATTTATATTTTATAGATATTAATACGTGAGCGGTGTTTTAAATACAGGCCAGGGAATGCGATCATCCGTTACCCACTTCCTTTCTTGCAAAACATTTAAGAAGCAATTTACACGCCATCCTGGGTCTCCGTGGCCTATTCCCAAACTTGAGTACTGCGTGGACCCGAAACAATTCACTCAAGGTGAGTGGCGGCATTCACGTTGGCCCATGGACTCCTGTAACCATTTAACACCAGGCAGGCCGTAAGATCGTTCACCGATCTAAGCTATAAAAAGTGTCGCTACTTTGATGATGAGTGAATAGCGCCTGTAGGAGTATAGGGCCATCAGCCGCGCTACCTCCATGTAGAGGCAACGCGTCTCCTTGCTAGGCCACTCAATTTCGATTTGTGTTTTCTTAGCGACAGTTTCCCAAAGTAAATTTTATAGAAATGATAAATTTTGGGACACTCTGTATAACACCAAGGAAAACAACTGGTTTTACCAATTCGATTTATATGACACTTCGATCAATCGATGTAAATTCCAGTTTTAATGATTTTCTTAGCTTGTGCAACTCAGTTTTTAAAAATTGTAATCGTATAATTTAGTTGTGCTCTAATTAATGCAGACAGTAATTGTGAAAAAACGGAAACTGCTAAACAATAAGTAACGTATGTTTTTTGTGTAGTACGTTGTCATGTATTACAAAAACATTTTTGGGTATTGTGTAATCACTGGTCGAGGCGCGTGTAAGCACCACTGGCGACAGTTCCCGGTCATCGTTCTCGTCGAACCCGTCGCTTGTGACGAAGGGCTCGGCGAATAAACTAACCCACAGCCACAGCCCACTGAGTTTCTCGCCGGATCTTCTCAGTGGGTCGCGTTTCCGATCCGGCAGTAGATTCTGCGAAGCACGGCTCTTGCTAGGGTTCATGTTAGTAACGTCGTCAGATTTAAGCCCCGTGAGCTCACCTACTTGTTAGGGTTACGCTGAAATGGCCTCTCAAGGCAATCAGCTTAGGTAGGAAAAGTTGAGACCGCCTCAACAGATTATGCCGCGACACCAGCAATGCCACTCGATGCGGCCGTCGGACTGTCGTACCGTGAAGTCTGACGTAGAACCGTCCACTATCAAGTGCTGGCCGGGCATCTTTAAGATGAGCTGCGCGTCTGGTACTAGTGTTAACCATGGTAGCTCCTTGCTTTGCCCGGGCTCGGCATCGGGCAGGGATTTGGGTGAGCCCTTGGCATCTTCAGCCCTTTTTTAGCTGTGGCCTTGGATATCTTCGGTCACTGAATCCCACATAAATAGGGGAGTAAGAGTTTCGGCCCCTGTTTTGAAATAAAAGGGTGCGATTTGCGCTTTGTGATATCTTCAATTTCCGTAAAAACTTAATACCAGATGAGCATCGACTTTGTCTTAAAAAAACACTGTGTGTGTGTGTAGGTACACATATTTCCATTTAAATAAACTCATTTTACAACTTCGTAAAAACCGTTCTGTGTCTCAATATTCAACATTTTTTGCGAACACTCGTGATTGCTATGTTCGCAAAAAATTCACATTCATTTATAAAAAAAATACAAATTAACTGATAAAAATTACGGGTTTTTTATCCACATTCTTTTTGGAAGCGTTCAAATTTCAAAAACACTTAATTGTTGTTATACTTAAATTAACCAAAATATTGTAAATGAAATATACTTCACAATGATGTGAACATTTTAAGATCCCAATAGAGAGATACGATTTAGTATTTTCGATAGATAAGATCTTACAAAAACCTAACTGCTTTTTTTTGGTAGAGATTATAATTGTGATTGCAGTTAAGATATCTTATTTTCATACGTATATTGTGTAGTATTAGTTTATTATATAACTGACGCTTGTCTACATCAACAATACACTATACAAGTATGTAACTACAAAACATAGTTGCGAACTTACGCATATGATACTCAACGATTATTTATTCCAAACTAGCTGAACCGGCAGACTTCGTAGTGCCTCAATCGATAAATAAAAGACCTAAACTTTTGTATAAAATAAACTTAAAACAAACAAAAGGAATCCGTCCGATGCAGTCCGATGGGACACACATCAAAGGAAAAACAAAATTGTTATTTTTATCAATTCCGAGTACATATTTTCATATTTATCTACATTTTATACCTTCTCTGGACTTCCACAAATAATTCAAGACCAAAATTAGCCAAATCGTTTCAGCCGTTCTTGAGTTTTAGCGAGACTAACGAACAGCAATTAATTTATATATGTATATATATATATATATATATATATATATTTTCTTTATTGCTTAGATGGGTGGAGGAGCTCACAGTCCACCTGATGTTAAGTGGTTACTGGAGAACATAGACATCTACAACCTAAATGCGCCACCCACCTTGAGATATAAGTTCTAAGGTCTCAGTATAGTTACAACGGCTGCCCCACCCTTCAAACCGAAACGCATTTACTGCTTCACAGCAGAAATAAGCGGGGCGGTGGTACCTACCCGTGCGGACTCACAAGAGGTCCTACTACCAGTAATTACGCAAATTATAATTTTGCGAGTTTGATTTTTATTACACGATGTTATTCCTTCACCATGGAAGTCAGTCGTTTTTTAAGTACGTA